CAGGCCCTTGAAATACACTTTGAGCAGAAGGCTCACTGTTGGCTGCTATAAATTCTCTTTAAGTGTATGTTCAAACTTACACAATTCCAGTTTCTTCAGCTTAAGCCGCAAACTGCTCGGCTAGTTAACGGTTTAACAGTGATAAATGATTGAAACAGTAACAAGGGAAATGGAACTTTTCTTCTGCAGAATTGGAGTTTATAGAGGAAATGATCGCAAGTTCGTAACTGTAACTTACTGCACCCAAGTGGTAACCCAGGATAAAGCGAAAGTAGGAAAAGTCGGCTTCCAGACACAAAATGGAACCCTGACCATTGCTCTCCTCTGGGAAGTGACCAGGGTTTGACACCTTTGCACCGATGTCCAGCTGCACCAGTTATCTCAGCACAGACCAGGGATCGCACGTTGGATGTCCCCTGTGAGGGGTATGTCAGCTATTCACTGCATAACTTAGCACACGCAGTTGGTGTTTTTTTTTAAAAAAAGATTTGAGCTCAAAATTGACAGTCTTGAAAGAATTGAGTTAAAATACAAAATGTAGAGATTGGCAACTCTATGACAGGATTAATTTCACATGGAGCTGCTTCCAAACAAAGCTTCATTGTTGGCAAGTTTCACCAACAAACGTCACATTCCATTTCTCTTTGTAGCACATTATAACACCTGATAAGTTAAAGGTTACATAGGCAATTCTTTGCAAAAACTTGGTAAAAAGGCCAATTTTTTGTTGTTGCTGGGCTTGCAAATGCATAATGGCACCTCATAAAGATCCCCAAATCTCCTGTAATGGCTTTGGAGGCAGACATTTTTGTTTGGCTGCAAATATGCGTTTTTACACCAAACGCCAGCATTAATATTCCCAGAGATTTCCTGCTCTATAATAATATGTCCCATTTGGAGCATTAACAACACATCACATAAACCAGGACACTTAAAGCATCTTGTGGCAGCTGTCCTCTCCTCACTACACACAAAGCATTGCTGGGTGCAACCAAATCATCACACATGCAACAAGATGACTGCATTTTGTGTTTTAAATTACATTTGCTGGTCTTACCAGGACCTTGTGCAGTCATGGATGATTGCCGAAAACAGAATTCTGGCTTGTTCAACACCAGCTACCTTAGCAGTTGTCAAGATTTCCCATATGTCAGATTTAGAGAGCGTTTTGCACTTAGTCCCATTCTTTTGCGAACAGCCAGCTTTGAATATGAAACTGAACAGGGAATGGTCCCTTCCTCCCATGGGGAAAGCACTGAGGTTCTGATGACTGTCAAGGCAATGGACAGGCTGTGCTGGGCAAGGAAATGATTTCCCTCTATCAGTTCAGTCACATGCTGAGAAGAACTGGGCAAATGTGAGGCAAATTTGAACTTCGAAGATACCTACTTAAGCAAGTCAAAAACAAAGTAAAAATTGGGTTCACGTTCAAGTTTCCATTTTATTTTTTTAATGAACTCTCCCCCCCAACCACCCTTCTCCAATTATATTCAAAGAAGTAAAAGTTTACTGTGAAATGGTTCTGCTCAACTGGCTGATCTGCCTGGCTCCCAATCCCCCCACCGCCCTCATGAAAGTTACATGCACTGTTGTGCAGGTCACCAGGAAATACAGAGCCTGCCAGTCTCTGAGACCCCACTGCGTCTGGTGATGTTTTATATTTACAGCTGAGCCCCACCTGCAGGGAGAGGAGAGTTCAGTGGCCACACTAAAGAACACATATCCATTATATACAAAAAAAGGCTTGCTTGAAATAGTATGCATCTCCATCAAGCTAACATGTGTTTGGGTGGTCTTTGAAATTAATTTACTCACAAAATCTGCCACACTCATTTTTTTGTGTGCCGTGGACCTTCTTCTGATCTCCAGGGAAGATCGGTACAAGGCCAGCTGTGCCCAAAACGATACTGCTTGAGAATGAGCCCAAGACACTGCTGCTCAGTGTTCAGAATTGAAAGAGTTACAGGGAAATCTCCGTCACTGTGTATCATGACCCCCAGTGTGGTGTCATCTGTCAATTTTGACACCATACCTGAATCCAAATCATTATGAATGGAGTCAACAGTTGTGTTCAAAAAATAGATCCCTATGGAACACCAGTTCCTACCTTTCTCCTGGTTGAGAAGATACTCTTAACTCCCACTCTTTGCTTTTGGTTGACTAACCATTCTCTAATCTATTGTGCTACCTATCCCGTGATTCCACATGCCTCTATTTTAAACATGAGCCTCTCATGCGGCACTTTATCAAAGGCCTTCTAGAAATCAAGATACAATACAACCACTGTTTTGCCCTTGTCTACTTTATTGGTTACATCTTCAAAAAATTCTATAAGTTTGGTCAAATATGACCTTCATTTCGTGCTTTCCAAATCCACGTTAGCGGTTTTAATGATATTTTCCTTCTCCAGATGACGAGTTACTTCATCTTTTGTTATAGATTCTAATACCTTTGTGGATTCCTGTAGCTCAGTGGTTAGAGCACTCGACTTGCAAGCGAGAGACCTGAGTTCAATTACAGGCAGGGCGAAACCTTGGGCAAGTTTCCTTACTCCACACGCCTAATAATAATCCCTCCAAAACCAAAAACAATAATAAATTGGTCATTTTCAATCTACGACTGTTTTGGGACATTGTTGTGCGCAATTGGCTGCCGCGTTCGCCCACAAATATACAGTCAATTTCACTTTACAATGTGTTCTGTGAAGCGCTTTGGGACGTCCTCCCGACGTGAAAAGCGATATATCAAATGCAAGGATTATTATTATTACCTAATCCACAATCAACATTAAGGTGCCTGGCCTACAGTTTCCTGGCTTAGCTCTATCACAAGTTCACACAGAGACACTCAAAAACACACACACATATAGAAGAGACATAGACACACTCATACAGACACACACAGACAATCACAACAGCGGGGCTAGCGGTAGCCCATTTGCCGTTTGCCCCGTACTGCGCATGTGAGTCCAGAACCACTTCGACCACAGTGACGTCAGGTAAACAGCGCAAGTGGCCCGTGGGCCAGACACTATGTTTATGTCGAATTTGTAGCGGACATGGGTTGTTGTAGTGGAAAATGCGGAAAAGGTTTCTATTTGCCCAGCTCATAACTAGGTCATGCAGTGCTTCTCTTGTTTTGGGAGGTTCTACATATTGGGACAGAAGACAATACTGCATACATTGCAAAAACCTCCATCCCCTTTGTGCCTCATACTGCCTTTCTCTGCCAATTTACCTGGGGATAATTGAAATTCCCCATAATTATTACTTTATTATTGTGGCTCATTTCCCTTATCTGTCTGCATATTTCTTCATCTACTTCTTTATCGCTGTTGGGTGGCCTATAATACAACCCCAATAAAATGGCTATTCCTTCACCATTTATCTCCAACCGGATGGATTCTATCTCTTCCCCGTCATTCTTTAGGTTTCTCCATTCCAGTGTAATTATAGGGGCTCTTACCTCCTCCCCTTTCCCCCTCTCTGTCCTTTCTGAATTCAGTATATTGTATCCTGCAATATTTAATTGTCAATTATGGTCCAAGTTGTATCCACATGTTACATCTGTTAATGCAATTGCATATTATTATTATTATATAATCCAATTCCTCATTTTTGATTATTGCCTCCAGTTCTTCCATTTTATTCAGATAAATCTGCCATAGTTCTCGTCTACACAATCTGAATACATCATTCTGAACTTCAAAATGTTTACATTCCTACAACAGCTTGACATTGACTATAAAGGTTCGACTCTGAACGACTAGACTCACACACTCATTAAAGAGCTCTGAATAGCACGTTGCTTAGACACAAATCAGATAATTACCACGAAAATGTTCTGTCACTTTCACATGATCAATAGCACAAATAATGAAATTTCATTGAAGATAATGTACCACGTCTCCCCTCTAAACATTCACACTCACTTCAAAACCAATATTGGATGCTATTACTTTACTCCTTGTTGGTAGTGAGTTCTACAATCATTGGGGAAGGAACAAGAGAAAGGATAACCTGTAAAATTCAACCTAAAGCCCAGCAAGGAACCATTCAGAACTGAGATCAAAGCAGTAGATTGGGTGAAGCTGATTGAATTTAAACATTAATACACCAAAAGGATCATTTAATTTAAAATCATGCATTTCTTAACTTTCTGAGACACATTTTACAGAGTCAGAAACAAGCTGAGACAATCTAACGGGATAGTAGCCTCGAGTTAAACCTGACTGAATTATATAAAAAAATAAAAACGGAATACAATTTTTCCACTGTGTGGACAAGGGCAAGGTTTTCCACGGTGATCAATCACATACTTGCCGCAAAACAATTGTTGTGTTGTGAATTACAAGGTAGAAGCCAACCAGTTCAATGTTTCTTTCCATTGGCTTTCAGCATTTTGCTATTACATGCACAGTACATGCACCAAACAAAATGTTTACTGCTGTGCGAGAATTACAGGTGTTATACCCCATTATGGAAGTCAATTTTAAATTGTTCATTTTATGCCAGTATTCCACTTCTTCCAAACGTCCCAGCTCTATTGACCTGGCAGGAGGATTGAACTTAAAAACAGGAGTCAAGAGCAAGGGCAAGTAAAGTGAACGCCCCAGAACTGTGCTCCACTTCACAATGGGAACTTTTTGATAATGTACTAAGCTGAGATTTCTTTCCGCCTAAACTTTGTAAACTGCAACTCTCGGCAGCACACTGCAAAAAAAAATTATTTGGCAACACAACAATTCCAGCCTTGCACAAATGTATGATTATCCGGTTTTGTGCAAACATTTACAATGATGCTGGTAAACACACAAGTTATTCCGCTAACATTTTGACATGTAGCGCTTCTGCCTTCTGTTGGGAAAGACCAGTTTTCAGGAGGTCTCCTTGGGGGCAGAAATCGAGATGCTGGATATATTTTGTAAACTCAGCGGTTTCAGTGCCCTTTACGCTTTGTTGTTTGCTGTTTGTCTGTGAAGCACGTAAAGCTGTTCCTACCTCTGACAACCAGGTCTGCAGATGCGGAAGTGCTGTCGACAATTGTTTGTGCGGTGCAGGTATATTTCCCAGCGTGCCTCAGCTGCGCGTTTTTGATGATTAGCTCTCCACCAGCTTCTTCCTGTGGGAAAAGAAAATATTAACAAGAGTTAATTCCTGCCAGTGTTAGGTTGTGTCATTCCCTCCAGGGGCTCGTTGTTTTAGAAGAGGACCTGGTTCTTATTACCTTGTGAAGCAAGGTATGTAACCGTGGACTGATGCTGATGGACGAGGTGTGAAATTGGTTGAAATGGTAGCATTTAAGAAGTAACCTGGAAAATGTCATTAAGTCAACTGGAATGTGTTCAGTCCGGTTCCCACAATGGTCACTTAATAGACACTTTAAACAGACATTCTGTACCCAATTGTGTTTGGGCTGTTTCTTGAGTGTCTTAAGGAAGGACATCAAAGATAAAGTATGAGCAAATTATTTTTTTTACAAAAAATGCCGATGTTTAGCTCCAGAAGGCTGTTAGTTATCAGCCTGGCTCAGCGGGAGCACTCTCGCTTCTGTGTCAGAAGGTTGTGGGATCCAGTCCCACATTGGGATTTTGAGCTCGCAATCATGGCTGACTCTGTTGAAGAGCTTTGAGACATTTCGATGTGATACGGTACTACATCAAATGAAAGGTTTATTATTTTTATTAGATTGTACTGATGGCAAGATACATGGGGGTTGCAGTTTGCCAATGTTATGGAAAGGAACAGGATTTAATACACTGCAGCACCAGTGTAACCTAAGATGGTCATTTTCCAGCAATCATTGTGATCACACACATTTTCCATTTATGTCTGAACATGTAAACCATAATAAACACACAGTTAGAGGACGGCAAGTTATCAATCAAAATGGCATGGAGCTTCATGCAGCATTGCTTCCCTTGTGTAATGAAAGAGCCCCTTTATATGTTAAGTGCAAAGCAGCTTGATGGAAAATAGGACGTCAGAAAAATGCTAATTAATAACAAATGTTCCATGGTGACTTTCAGTAAGTGAACAGAAATAGAATTTCTTTAACATTCTGATACTTGACCCAGAAGTTGGGAGGCTTGGGTGGGGTCCAATGGCTAAAAGTTAATATTTAGGTTCTCTGTATTTCAAGCTGAGTTTGAATTTTGGACAAGAGCTTGGCAGTATCCTGATGACTGACTCCACTTTACACCCTGCTGTTTCAGTCTCGTGATCAGTAAAGCCAGTAGATCTGCTGGTTTGAATCACATGTCCAGCAAAAAGTCACCCATGATAACAAGGTCCATAAAATCGCAAACAACGACTTACACTTATTTAGTGCCCTTCAATGTACGGTAACATCTAGGAGCGCTCAGCACTATAATGGGGTGCGATCACAGGTCAGCAAAAAGGCATGTTGGAAGCCAAAATGGCCATCTTCAAAATCATCAGGTTGCCATTTTATGCACACCATAAATGCACAGTGCCCAAGAAGTGACATCGGTAGGAACCTGATGACCCCAAAGTCGGCCATTTTGGTACCTTGCCTTGTTCAAGATAGTGTTTTCTTCAGGGGATCATCTCCCTGTACGAAATTCAGATTGTTGAGATTTCCCTTCTGTCTAAAACTTGGATCCGAGATGAGGTCTCGCGACCCTGGAGCTGCCTTGAGAAATGCTATTTTCTTATGCAAGCAATTTTGCCAGCAGTCTCACAAGAACAACTTGTGTTTATAAAGCACCACCCAACAGTTGGTGATAATAATAATCCTTGCATTTCATATTGTGCCTTATTATGTCATTGAGACCTCTCAAAACTCTTTGCAGGGTATACTGTACAGTGGATTGTGTATTTTGTGGACAAAACACAGCAACCAGTTGTGCACAGCAAATTCCTATTCATAGCCATGGAGTGAGTGACCAATTTGATTTGGGGGATTGTTGGCCAGGACACAGGGAGAAATTCCCTTCCCTTTACAAATAGTGCCATGGTATCTTTAATGTCCACCCGAACTGACAGACAGGACCTTGGTTTTTACGTCTCATCTGAAGGACAGCACCTCCGATAATGCAACATCACCCCCGAACCGCCAGCACTGTATTGGAGTGCCACCTTAGACTATGTGAATCCGAGTCCCGATGAGGGGCTTGAACCCACAACCTTCTGACTCAGAGGTGAGAGAGCTACCACTGCACCAGGCTGACAAACAGATGTCATTACTTTATTCCTTGTTTGTGTGATAATGCTTTTTTGGAAGCCAAGCAGTTACTTTAAAATGCAGGCACTTTTTAGCAGGCACACGGGGAAGGCAATCCATGCCAGTAACATCCGACTAACACCAATGTGATGAATAACCAATTGTGTTTGTGTTTAGTGAAGTTCGTTGAAGGAGGAATACTGGTTTGGACAGAAATATGTCTCAAAAGTTCAACAAACACATCAAGTGACTGCTATTTTTTGAATGCTCCTCTCGACATATCGATGTATAAATTTCATCAGCTTCAGCCATTTCACACTTTTGCCTTTGTTTTTAATTGTTAATTTTCGGGCTTAGGTTTAATTTGACTCTTTCTCTTGTTCTCTATGATTATGGAGCCCTCCACAAACAAGGAGAAAAGTAATAACATCCATATCTTGTTTACCAAATGTCTATTAGGAGATGCAGTACATTTTAGCAACACAAAGATTCATTATTTGGATTTCAATGTGTATTCCATTCCTTTTCCTGTGCTGTTGATTGTGTGAAAGTGGCTGGACATGCTTAAAGTAATTGGCTTGTTCGTTTATAAGAAACGTGCCGTTCAAGCTATTTAATGAGTGAGTTGCAAACCTTTACAGTTCAATGTCAAGCTGTGATAAGAATGTAAACATTTTGAAACAATGTATGCTTGCACTTGTTTGACCGCTAAGGAACGTTAATGAGGAGCAATTAACGATGGGATCATATAACAAACTTCACAGGAATATTCAGTTTGGAGCCCCAAGATCCAATTCATTTTCCATGAAATGTAATGCAGCCAAGGGACAAACCAATATCCAATCAACCCAGTGCGGGGATTCCTTCAAACCCCTCTTGTCCATTCAACACAATTTCTTAGTCTCCATTTCTGACTTTCGTGGTGTGCTTTTAAGAAGCACTTGGCGGAGATACAAGAAATGTTTTTTGAGGGACTTTTCTATCACTGCTGTGGTGCATACCAACCATGTCAACTGACTTAATAATCCTTGCATTTGACTTCAACACAGTCGGGTATCCTACACTTCCTTTTGCTCTTTGCACTTTGACTGGATGGAGAGCGAGATCTTTCCTTGAGCCACTCAAAAAATGACCCACTTACTGCTTTGACTGCGATAGGAAATGAAAATCAGGCTGGGCAGGCGGCTCCTTCAGATCAGCTCCCAGCAGCTGGACTGGTGTATCCTATGATCCACCCAGCAGATGGCCTGTTCCACTTTCCCGAGGAAAGGCAGAAGTGCAGATGTGCTAGGTGGTAGGAATGTGAGGCACAACCTCCTTTTGAAAAGTTCATACAACAATTTAAAAAGTCACGGTGGAGGTGGAGCAGTGGCTGAGCAGAGCAATCAATCCCAAAAAGTATACTGTCCTGCAATCCCGAGACCCACTGGCTCAGGCAAAGACTCATTCCAGCTGTGGTATCTCACCTACAACACGCACATGGAATTCAACAGTGTGTTCCAAAATTAGAAGCAAAGTCAACTTCAAACGTCAAGAGAGTATTCTTGCAGCCAAAATAAAACTTTGAATGTTTCATTGTCAACTCACCCTAAGCTTTCTACTCCACAGGTGCAACACTCAATTCAGAACTAAGGATTGTAAAAAAAACCTCTTGGTAACGACCTATTTCGACTTCAGATTTGTAAAAGGCACCAGGGACTAAGGCAGCTTGTTCTAATGATCAACATGGTCTGACTGCACGACTGAGCAACTGTGGTTTCACTTTCATGTCTTCAGAGGAGGTGGTCATCTCAATGCTAAGAGCTGGGAACGTTCCCAACTCCCAACACCGGAGAACTGAGGCATGAGCCAGATGGATATGTGAGGCAGAATGTGGATTTAGAAGTAAATAATCTTCTTGAGGTGAACAGATTCTCTGTTTTTCCATTCTAACCTCTTTTTAATGTGATTGGAATAACTTGCCCAGTGCTTTAGTGCTAACATAATTGCAAATGGGCAATGCCTCCCCTGCATTTGATATAATGCCATCAACATGTCTCAAAATGCTTCACAGGGTGTATTGTAAATTGCAGTGACTGGTTATTTTTAACTGACCCGGGCAGCCAATTTGTGCACAGCCAAGACCCATAAACAGCCATAAAGGATCTCTGGGATGGAGTTCCAGAGACTGGGGCCAGAATGGTTGAAAGCTCACCACTGACAATACCAGAGTGACAAATTTCGAGGTGCTCGCTTCTAAAACAAAGCGTGGGATGGTCTCTCCTGCTTTGTGTGTCAATGACCAGTTCACTTACGTCATAGATCCTTGTGCTCCTTTGAAGGGATTGAAAATTCAAACAATCTTTTTGTGTGATTTTCTACTCTTATTACTTTTAGACTGAATCCATCATCTAAAACTAAAAAATGGTTTGAGACTGGATCACAAAGAGAGCTATCAGAGTCAAGCTGAACCATTTCCAGACTACAAGAACGCTGGAAATATCTGTGCTCAGAAACCACTATCCCACAGCCTTAATGTGGGTATGAAGTGTAATTGCGTGCAAAGGTTTAGGGAGCTCTCAAATACAGTCTACTCATACATACACATATAGGGTATGATTCTGCCCAAGGCAGAAAAAGCAAAAGCATTATTTAGTTTGTTCAAATTTCTCTCTTTCAAGAAATATCTGACAGAACATGACAGCCAAGCAAGTCTGATCTGACACCACGGTAAACAAAGCAAAACAATTTGATGTTTATGCATCATCACAGAGAATCACATTCCTCCTGTGTACGAGTATCAGAAGACAGTGAATTGGCATTGCCAAGAGGATGGGACCAACTCTGAGGCGCACATTGCTGGATTTTGTACTTCATCAGCAGTTAAAGTACGCTACGTGAACAATTTTCTGCAGTGGAACATAATGCAAGAAGCTACAATGAGATACTTGCTTGAT